GTAAAATGAAAGAAAGAAAGAAAGCAATGATTGCAATAATGGAAAGGGAATTTATCATATTAAAAAAAATGTGAGAATCGCATTTGCTTAAGTAAAGAGAGAAAAGTATATAGTAAAACAGATAAAACAAACAAATAAGAATTATAAATTTTAAATGAATTAGAAAAAATATAAAATTCACAAAGATTAAACAAATTTCAACTCACAGAATGAGAAAATGATTAGTAATAATTTAATATGCGAATGTAAAACAATTAAACATGAAAAATATACATTTAATTAAGCAAACTGTTTACGTTATCTAATTGTGGTGATAAGAGCCAAGATTGCATGCAAATTGGTTAAGTCAGTCTAACATTAACGTATTTATATTGTGCATATGAAGTCCATAATCAGCAATTAGAAACTAAAAATATGCGCCTTGTTGAAATGTTTTATAATGATTAGGAAAAAGGGACAGAGAGTAAATATAAGCGTATAGAATGCTGTAAAGGGAGCATAAGGCCAAAGGGCATATAGTAGTGTCGTAATGGAAAAATAAGGCCAAAGGCCGTATAGAAGTATCGTAATGGAAAAACAAGTGCAAGGGTGTATAGAAGTACAGTAAAGAAAATAAAAATGCTAAAGGGCGTATAGAAGTGCCTTAACGGGAAAATTGACCAAAGTGCGTATAGAAGTGTCGTAATGGGAAAATAAGGTCAAAGGACATATAGAAGTGTCGTAAATGAAACATCGGTCACAAAAGGCGCATAGGAGTGTCATAACGTAAAAATAAGGCCAATGGGCTTATAGAAATTCGGTATTCTTACTTATTATAAAACGCAGATTGTGTGTGTCTGTGTTTGTCTTTACGTTTATATATTGGATCGGATTTCCTACATTTTTCAACCGATTTCAACAAAACTTAACAGGACTACGTAAAATTACCTCGCGGTGGTTCTGACAGCGCCAGAAACTGGAAAATACAATTGTTTTTGCACGAAATCAATTTAAAAACAGAATAAAACACGATTCTGTCGCCAGAATGAAAGGGGGACATCTCATATCGAATTATACTTATTATAAAACCCAGGTTGTTTGTGTGAGTGTGTGTATGTGTGTTCGTTTATATATGGGATCGGATTTCGTACATTTTTCAACCGATTTAAAAAAAACTTCACTTTTTCTTTTGGCAGGTAGTGTTTCTTATTGTCTTGCACACTTTTTTCTTTATTTTACATTCAGAATGCTTTAAAAATTCCATTTACAAGACAATTGTTTATAATAAAATTCTATTCAATCGGGAGACTCATAACGATTGAAAACAATGTTTTTGTTTGAGTTTGGGTTTGGGTTTAGGTTTGACCAATTCGTAAAAAAACCCAAAAAAAAACAAAACAAAAAACAAATAACTAAGACATGCGTGTCCGTCAACCTTAAACAATAATCGTTGTCAATTTTATTTTTCAGGTCGATATTTGATCTATCTCTTACTGTTACATCCCCGGGCAACGCCGGGCTCTATTGCTAGTGGCCTATAGATGTGCCGTAAATGGGAAATAAGGCCAAAGGGCTTATAGAAGTGTTGTAAGGGTGTGTACATATGCTGTAATAGAAAGAGTAAGGACAAAGAGCGTGTAGAAGTGCCGTAAAGGAGAAACAGAAACAAACCCAACAAATACAATGTCAAGAGAACTAAAAGACGTAGAAACTTAAAGTATGAGTTTCAAATACATACAACTTACACTCGGTACCTGGTTTTAAAGAATGACCGATTTGGCATTAATTGGTGAGACGAGTTCACATCTCGCAGGTAGTTGAATGTCTCTAGCTTCTCTATCTTTTCTGATGGTAATTCATTCGCAACAACAATATAGTTTATATTCATAACTTGGCGAAATTGGCCACTGGAAAAGAGTCACATGAAAATACCAGCAATTCCACCATTTATGTTTCGTGTTTCTTCAGAACATAGTCGATTATATCTCTCCATAACTTACAGGTCTTTTCAATTTTTTTTCTCCTTCCAATCACTTTTTCATTACTCTCGGCCATCTATTTTTTAGAAAGTCATTAATTATGTGACTACCTCTGACCTTCTTTCCTTCAATATTTTTATGTGAGTATCAAATTCTCCTAGCATTCTTTTCTAATTATATATTCAAGAAATTTCAACTTTCAACTCTCTTTAATCCTAAAAGCATTTGTCTTTTTGTCTTCATTTTCGTTAAATTTCCTCATGTTCTTCCCATAGTTTTATCAGCATCCTTCTTCTCGCTGCGAATCTCTCCTTCATCTCTACGGAAATTGATCAGGATTCATTGCCATATAACATAGCTGTAACATAGTAGTTGAGCCCGCTTTTCTTGCTTTCGGACAACATTTTCTTATCGATTGATACATTACTTAGTTTCAGGTAAGCAGACAAGTGGCTAGCTCTAATGTCAAAGTTTTCAAACACATGCTTTTCTCGAATATATCCTATTTAATAGAGAGTCAAGAAATAATTTTTATATAAGAACTTTCTTCTGTCGTTTAAGTAAAACATAAGTAATTTTTCAGTCGATGAAATAGTTTTTATAAGATTTGCGTTTCTCGCTAAGGATTTCTCGCCAAAATTTCTAATAATTCCTAAATGAAAACCACAGAGTCAAATCAGTGCTCCGAACCAACGAATCATCTGGATTAGTTCATATCTGATTATTTCGGTTCCATCTATATCGTTTCTTTATAAACCTTGTCCTTTCAGGACGTAGGTGATCGGAGCCCTCCACATCTTCCTGTCTCTTGTAACCTTTAATAAATTTTGTCTTTTTCATTTTCCCCCAAACCCTGCTCTACCATCCATTTACTCAAGATCATCAAGTATATTTCGCGTTGCTTTTTCCTTCAATTTCTCCTGTGCGTATTAGGTTTTCCAAGACTTACTTCCTCAATACCTGCCACAGAAATGTCAACTGCCTCTTCCTGATGTTAAGTATAAGTTTCCTTTTGTTTTTATTTTTTTCCAAAACCTCGTTGTTCCTCACATGTTCGGTCCATGGTATCCTCAGTATGTTTCTGTAGAACCACATTTCTGTTGTTTCAAGTCTCTTCATCTTTGAGGAGATTGTCCAGCATTCGCTGTCATACAGGAGGACAGATATCATGTAACAGTTCAGTACTCTTTGTTTCTAACACATTTTTTTCTGTCTCTTAATATTCTGCTTAGCTTTTGGAAAGCATCTTAATACGTCTTCGGATCTCAGTGTTGCACTTTCCGTCCTCTATCAGATCACAATCCTGATATTTAATTTTCTCTATTTACATTATGTCTTCTTGTATCTTATGCTTAGCCCTTTCTTCACGCTTTCTTTCACTACCTCCTTTATACAGGATTAAAATTAGGTTTAATAAAACGTTAAGTTTGTAATTGCTGGTGGTTACGGGTAACTGTAGGAGACATTGTCACGGCTTTGTTTCCGTTTACAGTTGTTTTAATTACAGTATGCGGTATAAAAAAAAACACATCTAGTCTGATGTTTTTGATATGCGTCAGGGGTTGCACCTAAAAGGGGGAAAAAAATTAAATGCGTCATTTTCTTTAATTTAATTTGAAACTGAGTAATATGATTTAAAAGGCTGGTTATGAACAGACCGAAATAGGTCAAGTCCTCGATCAAATAACTGATGCGACGCGATTACTGTTTTGTAGCCAATCGACTCCAGACAATTTTCCTACTGATTGCCTAAAGAAAAACTCATGTGGTTGAATCCCATTAAAGTTAGTTTAAATACGAAGTGTGATAGAAAAGTTGCGGAACTGTTGCTATGGTAACGGAGCTAAATTACGCAGAATAAAGTCACTTGGCACAGATAAACCTTGGACTATGTCTCGCATGCACACAAAGTTATAACATTCTCTGCTCACTTCACTTGTTCATAGTAGGGCTTGGTATGTAATAGTGTAGAGTGTGGTCGTCTGACCACACTACTGAGTTTCCATCAGTGCCCATGGATTGTGCAGTAGTAATTGAGTTTCAAAATGACATCATAAAAAATATTTTTGAAGACTCACATGGTGGCATTGTTCAAGAAGAATGCTAAATTTCCAGATAGAAAACGCTCTTTGTTCACGATAATAAGCCGTCATATTTGGTGTGGATACGTTATGAATGTCTTAATAAAATGCCTTTTTCAAAGGCACTATATTGTTAAAGTGGCCGGTTTGTTCACCTGTATTTATCTCAATCGACATCACGTGGGACATTCTCAAGAAGACCATTAGTAATGGACAATTTGCCAGTAAATAGAGATTTTGCTCTGCTATTCTGAATGATTTCGAGATAGGGGTAGATATGCTTGCCTATCACACAGTTCACAATCCTTCCGTCCATTTTGAACATAAGTAGAAGTTTATCCCTTGTTTCTTGATTAGGATTGAGTTTTCGGTAACTTCTAAAATCTCACATTATGTCGCTTCTGGTATCCCCCTTGCGCCTTAGTTTCATTATCGCCTTATTTGACCAAAAACATTCGTGGATAAATGAGTTCTAAAAGTATCATATTTACAGTACATGGAGCAGGCACTTCACAATAATGTTGTTTTAATAATATTTTCGGTATTACATTCGTTTTTATATAGTTTTTATGTAGTTTTTATTTAATTATATCTCTAATGTGAAACTTAGGAATCCATAAAATGTTTAAAATATCTTAGTCTATAATAAAAGTAACATATCATGCGATATACCCTGCAAAATAAAAGTGTAAATATTTCCGGATTTTCCTTCATCGGTTTTAAATAATATAGGAAAATTAGAATGCAGCTATTAGTATGAGACGCTATGCATATTCACGTTGAAACAAAAGACTAAAAATGGATAGAAATTAAAGTCTCTCGATGCACAAGGGTAATCCTAGAATAGAGGACAGAAGATAGAGAATCTATGAATAGAAAACAAGAATCATGATTTACGAAATGAACAATGGTACAAATAAATGAAAGGCGAGGTGAAAAACTGATTAAAAAAAACAACTATTTAGAAAGAAAGAAGGTAAAAACAAAGAAAGGAAGAAAGACAAAAGGGAAATAAATAAATAAATATAGAAAGAAAGAAAGCTAGAAAGTAACTGTTGAAAATGTGTAAAGAATAAAATATTCGTTATAATGACCCCAATTGAAAGAAAGGAAAAAGAAGCTAAGAAACAAAGAAAAAAACGGGTGAAAATGTGTAAAGAATAAAATATTCGTTATAATGACTATAAAAGAAAGAAAGAAAGACAGAGAGACAGAAAGAAAGAAAATAACGGTTGAAAATGTTTAAAGAATAAAATACTCAGTATAATGACTAGCAAAGAAAGAAAACAAAACTGAAAAAAATAGAAAGAAAAAGTAGAAGGAAAGAGAATGAATAGAAAGAAAAAAAGAAAGAAAGAAAATAACGGTTGAAAATGTGTAGGGAATAAAATACTCGCTATAATGACTACTAAAGAAAGAAAGAAAGAAAGAAAGAAAAAAGAAAGAAAGAAAATAATCGTTAAAAAAGTGTAAAGAATAAAATACTCAGTGTAATGACTCCCAAAGAAAGTAAGAAAGAAAGAAAGAAAGGAAAGAAAGGAAGAAATAAAGAAAAGAGAGAAAGGAAGGAAGAAAAAAAAAAGTAAATATCTACTGAAAATGTGTAAAGTATAAAATAGTCGTTATAATGGCATTAAAAATGAACGAAAGACAAAATGAAAGCCATTGTAATAAATATATATGTTTCGGAAGAAAACAATATAGATAGTTAAAGAAATACGGTGATAATTGATGGAGAGACAAAATATCTACAACGATACAAAGTAAGAAAGAATATATGAACAAATTCTAGTCGATACCTAGGCATGAACCTGAAGGGATAAGAAGAGTGATGGATAAATAGACATATGATTACAAAGCTAAAGGGAATAACATAAATACACTGTGAAAGAAAAGAAAAGAAAGAAAGAAAAAAAAAAAGAAAGAAAGAAAAGAAAAATAACGGCTGAAAGTATGTAGGGAATAAAATACTCATATAATGACTACAAAAAAAAAAAAAGAAAAAAAGAAGAAAGAAAGAAGAAAGAAAAGAAAAGAAAGAAAAGAAAATAACGGTTGAAAGTATGTGAGGGGAATAAAATACTCGCTATAATGACTACAAAGAAAGAAAAGAAAGAAAAAAAAAAAAAGAAAGAAAAGAAAAGAAAGAAAGAAAGAAAAGAAATTGTTTAAAATATATATTATGAAAATAACGAAAAAAATGTCTTTAAAATATGCCACAAATAAAAAGAAGGGATGAATTTATTGTGCACCTTAGAAATCCGAAGTAAACTCTTGGAAAATAAAAGAGAAAATTAAATAAAAGGGAAATAGAAATTGCTTTTACAAAAGGTAAAAATGTTATCAGAAAAAGTGTTAAAGAAGTAAGGAAATGATTTCTAAACAATAACAATGAAAGATTAAATTATCAACATAACGAATGAATGAATTAAAGGCTATGATATGTTTATATCACACACATACACATCAACACACATACACCAACACACACACACACACACCTACAAACACACACATATTTGTGTGTGTGCTTGTAGTTATTTAAAAGAATATACCAGAAATCACAAATATTTCCAAATATAAAGACAGAAAGAAATTATTTTATAAAGACATATTATGAAAACAAATAAATATTTCAACATATACAAAAGAAATGTCACGAATGAAAAGAAAGAATGAATGAATTTAAGAATGAAAGAAGAGTAAATCTTAAGAGAACTGACAAAAAAATAAAAATGGAAAAAGAATAGGAATGAAAAAAAGAAAACGTTATTTTTAGAAATGGAGGCATATTTATGAAAACAAAAACAGCGCTTACAGAAAAAGAAAAAAAAACGATGGAAAGAAGAAAAGATCTGTGAAAACCGAAAAAGCAAAACGAAAAAAAAAAAAAGAAAATCGGAAAAATAGACTGAATGAATGCAAAATTGCAACTGATAAAAAAAAGCAGATAAAAAAAAAGAAATTGACATTTTTCTTCGTTACATCATTTGCATGACATTCAGTCATTTCACCGCTGCTTCGATTTTCCCGCTTTTTTCTACTTCCCGCCCTCACCTTACCATCGCACAAATCCCTCTTTGCCTTGTACCATTCTTCTACCTTTTTCTCACTTCCTCTCTTTCTCTTCACTGGCTTTCCCATTGGTTCTTTAAGGTCGGTCATCAAGTACACGAACACACTTGCGTCATGCACACGTATACAGAACATGTCATACTGACACAAGCATTCTCATTGGTGAATTAGCAGACGTCTTGTCCATATGAAAAGAGGTTAGAGTATCACATATTTGAATGGACACACCATGACTCCTTCTTAAGAACGCGCACACAACTACATCATATACACTATTAGAAATGTTTGACAGATATATATATATATATATATATATATATATATATATATATATATATATATATATATATATATATATATATATGAGGTGTATCTATGTGTCTCGATTTTCATTAATGTGTGAGAGATAATTTTTATCTTCGTTTGTCCTTCAGAAATTACCCTTTGATAGAATAAAAAATATAATGATTGGACAATGATTACGTATATTGATGATATAGTATGGAAATAAAATAGCCAAATATATAATTTCGACAAATTTGTTATTTCGTGAGGATGTTACTTTATTTTCTAATTGTTCAGAAATAAAATATAATTCCCATTTTAAACAGTTAAAATATTCGATTTTTGTAATTAAAATGTTACATATACGGGTATTTAAATTATGGACGTGGTTCGATATCAAATCTGTCAAAATAAAAGTGAACAATACAACAACAATAATGAATTTTCTTTTCACTTTAAGAAGTTGCTGTTCACGGGAAGTTTCGTTAATTTTGCACATGCGGATGCACCTGCGCGTATCAATTTATAGATGTGAGTAGGTGCGTGTCTCTTTGAGGTCTTTGAAGTATCGTAATCCCCTGGAAAGAGAGTGCAAAAGCACACACACAAATATATGTCTCTTGTCTAACATTTCGTAGATGGAAAGAGGAAGAGAGCTCAATATAGGTAATGGGCATAGAAATTAGTATTGCAAAGTGATAGAGGTTCGCTTAAGACGTTAAACTCTCAACCACAAGTCAGGGTTGTTTCCAAAGACAATACTGTTCTATCTATCTATCTATCTATCTATCTATCTATCTATCTATCTATCTATCTATCTATCTATCTATTTTAGCTTCGTATGAATGTATGTATGCATCTATCTATCTATCTATCTATCTATCTATCTATCTATCTATCTATCTATCTTAGCTTAGCTTATTATGTATGTATGTATGTATGTATCTATCTATCCATCTATCTAGATATCAATCAATTAAATTCGATCACTCTCGCAATCTATTTCCACATAGACACGCGCGTGTACCTGTACACGTCCGCACACAGACAGACACACACACGCACATATAATTGTGTGTACGCGTGTGTGAGAGGACCTGTATATGCCTTTATACCTGTTCATCTCACTTTATTTGTCTATTTACCTCATTAATCTCTGTTCATATTATATCTATTTGTTTTATATCTATCTATCTATCTATCTATCTATCTATCTATCTATATATATATATAGATATATATATATATATATATATATATATATATATATATATATATATATGAACATAGTAAAATAAGCATATATTTTATAACAAAGTTAATCATACCTTTAATCAACAAAAATAAAATTTACTAATAATTGCATTAATATTGATAATTGATTCAAGGTATGATTTTTTAAATATATATATATATATATATATATATATATATATATATATATATTATAATTATTTTTTAAAAATATGATTCAAAGAAAAAGTTTTTTAAAAATTATAATTTATTTACTATGTATTGAGCACTGTTTTTAAACAATAAAAACAAAATACTTAAGAACTTTGGATTATTACCCTAACGGTTCTTTCCTATTTTTCAATACTTTTGCACACACACACACACACACACATATATATATATATATATATATATATATATATATATATATATATATATATATATATATATATATATACATATATATATAAAGAACAGAAAAATTGAAAAGAAAAAAGATATGTTACTGGAATTCTCCGACGTTTTATAACACTACTTTAAGTAATAAGAATGAAAAATTACTCCCCAAGTTTAACAGAAGAATCGTGATGAAATCGTTCATAATCGAAAATGATATGTTCATCATTAATTAATCATACCTAAGTGTTGAAGTTCCTGAAGAATTGTAATAAAGTTGAAACATATATTTATTATTACAGACTCATTCTCCAAATTATTGAAGATGACCTTCGTCCTCTCTAAACTTCTAACTTGCTGTCCTGGAGTACCAAGCTACTTCACGGTTTTCACGTACAATTTCATTTTCAAGACTTTTTTCATTGCCCTTTAGACTGTCACGTGTCAAACGTCTTATGGATTGAGTTGGACCTATTCTAATAGATCTCTTTAATGTAATGATGATCCATCATCCTGTTTTTACCGATTGATATAGTTTTCCTCTCTACTGTTCTCACTTTTTTAAACTTATTCACCATTCTCTTGATGGTTCTTGAATAGATCTGAAAGTCGAAGACAGAGTATGAATTTTGGTAACATTACTGAAAACCTGAATAATTTTCCTCTCACCATTGCTCATTTGGGAAGACAGTGGTGCTGACAAATCGATTTTACCCTTTTCTCTTTCTAGCTGAATAACTCAATGGGTTTTTCAGTCATTCTTACGATAAATTGTACCAATATGGCTAGATATCTTATAGTAAAATCAGAAAAAAAAAGAAACTAAATTAATTCAGTGTTTATTTTTTTTTTAAATATTAAATATTATTGTGCCGTTACAGGATTTGGACAATTATGCTGTTAAACCTGGTACATCTACAGGTTTCGATGAATAAATTGTTGTCTAAGTGAAAATAACGCAAATGAAAGTAACAATTACATTTTATTTCAACAGATATATTTACCAAAATCACACAAAATATCTTGAAACACTAAAGAGTGAATTTATTCAATAAGCTCGCCATTGGCTTCAATCACGGTCTCAAGAAAACTTCGGAATCCCCTGTTACTCTTCTTGTTTAAGTTTGTGAATGCCGCCATAACCCTTGCCTTCAGTTCATCTTTAGTGTTAGTAGTAGTTTTCTTGGTCTCTCCCTCAACAGCCTCTTACATATAATAATCAAGTTGTTGTCTGCAGAATTGGGTGGCCAGGTGTAAATGTGTGATGTTGTCGTAAAAATTGTCTGACAGTCATGACTGCGATCTCCTGCTTGTGTGGCATGGTGCAGAGATCGGTTGCCAGATATAAGGAATTCTAGCAGCCACCATCTTGACCCCGAGCAGAACTACCTCCCCAAAGCCCGATGAAGGTCTCTGTGTTGATTCTGAAGCCATGTGGGGAGATGAATGGAGGCAGAAAGTGGCCATCACTACTGATCACCCCAAATATCATTGATATAAATGTCAAAAAATGGACACTCCGAATCACAAGGAGATAGCATAAGGTTCTTGGCTACAGATAGAAAAGAGGGTAATTTTAGACTCACAGGACATACCGAAGGGAGATGTCAGCCGTCTACCTAGCCGAGAATCTTGCGTAAATGAATGGCAGGACGAGGCGTGAGTGGCTGATCAAACGGACAAAAGTTGCTAAGGGCGACAATTGAGAGGAGGTGAGAGAGAGCCATGATCGCCTACGTCCAGAAGAAACATATAATAACAGGTATCGACCTGGAAACAGAAAAACCACACGGCGATGGTTACCAAACTTGGCATATATGTGAAGGAATTGAATACTATTTTCATTGAACAATCTCCTTTGGGCATTGCGTGTGATTAACTGAGGTAGAATATGAAATGTAACTGGCGTTGAGTGATAATTGACTATCCTCCAAGTTTAGCCGGAATAATTGTTTGAATATAACCTACTATGGCTTCAAACCACTCTAATATATATATATATATATATATATATATATATATATATATATATTTGATTGGATTGATGTGAGTCAAATCAATCCAACCAAATATATGGCTCTATCTCTGATATTGAGCGCTTTCTAATAATTACCGCCCATATAATATATAAATAATTATATATATATATATATATATATATATATACATATATATATATATATATATATATATATATATATATATATATATATATATACTTTTCACACATATATATATATCAATGCAATCAGAACGAAAAATAATAATAACATTCCCAATTACTACTAAAATTATCGCAACAATTTTTAACTACTCAAACGTAATACAATCCTCTATCTCCATCTTTCCTCCCTTACATCTCACTCTTAGGCGCTTATGAGATGATGTGCCTAAAACTTTCACCGGTGTTTATCGGGGAAAAAATCTCCACAGACCTGTCAACATTAAACACCCAATGCATTCTTCACCAAAAAGATATCAACAAGCACCATTGTTTCACTCAGTCATCTTTTATTTTTTTTTATGTATATTTATCTTCTCAAACAAATGGGAAAAAGGAAGTGACGTTTAGCATACGGCTTGCCTACAAGCAGAACTGTTCATAAAAATTTTCGATTCTCACCCGTTGAAGTTCATTTGAAATGCACTGAAACCAAGTTGCATCTTTTCAGTGAGTAAAATGGTTTTGTCTATGATAAAATTATAATAAATAATATTTATAATATGTGTGTGTGTGTGTGTGTGTGTGTGTGTGTGTGTGTGTGTGTGTGTGTGTGTGTGTGTGTGTTATAGTAATTTACCCACGTACGCATGGACTCTCCCAGCTATAAATAGGAGCAAGAACTGCCTTTTGGAGTGGGAAGTTTCCAGCAGGGAGCTCTGACAGTCGGATCGAACATTCTTGCAGCAACACTCTCTTTTGTATATGTTTGTATTACTGTTTCTGTTAATATATTTAACTCAATTTCTCTCTTGTGTCTTTATTTCTGGCGCTAACAAGCCCATAACAATATATA